GTATTGGTTCCAACCAACCGCTGTTGGAAAGAAAGCATTTGTTTTGACGAAGCTTTAAATAATTGCTTTTCATAATTCTAATAAGGCTTTGGGGTATTTGAGCAGCAACTTCCAACATATACAATCTCTGCCTTATTTGTCAAAACAGCCTAGTCTAAAAATAAGCATACAGAAGAGCAGGCTCTCCTAGTTATCTCCATAAACAATGACTAAATCATAGAATACAGCATACAGCACTGGAGAAGGTAGGTTAAACACCCCAGTGTTCTACTTTCACATTGCTAGTCAGTCACATTTAAAACTCCTTTTTCTTTAGCATACAAGTTGGTTGTCTTTCAAATTGATGAGGTGAATTAGCTGCTTACGTCACATTAATGTCAGAAAGAGAAGCTGTAGCTTTATGATGGGTACTATTCCCTCTATTCTCTTCTGGCATTGAAGATATATATCATCAGAGGACAGTGTAGCTTGCTATCGATAAGACAACATAGCAAGGGAACTTAACCAATTAATGCCAGAATAATAAAACCTTTTAATTCAAGATGCTGGTTGTCATGTTGTGGGAACATGGTTGTGTCATTTTACTTTCAAATGTCAAAATCCCAACTGTCAGAAGTTGGACTATAGACAATAAATGCAGTTATAAAGAGTGGAAGTGATGGGAATGCCAAAGGCTGAAGGCATCACATCATATTCAAGGGAACCATATTGGGGCAAAAGCCAATTCAATATACTAAAAGTTGGATATATACTATAGATAAATAAGGTGCAACTATTCCTCGAGGAATTATTCTATTTGATTAACACAATGCTAAAAAAAACTACTGTAAAGTTATCATTCGGGTCAAATCACAGAAACGTTCTACTGTATGTTTTACAGCTAGTATGGACGGGGTGGAGAGTGACAAGTTGAGAAGGCAGATCTAGGATCAGGTCCACACTGTCCATATAATCTTCTTCATTATGATCTAAAAGGCAAAACTGACCCTAGATCAGCTCTCCTACTCAGAGACACTTGAATACGGGCACAGGTCATGAGGAGTCATCTCTCATGTACCATTTGTCTCTCAACATTACGAAACCGACGGCAGTGAGCTGCTCACAGTATATCTTCCTCCACAGTATATCTTCCTCCACTGTCCGTGTCCCCATAACGGGCTCGAACCAGTGACCATCCTCCTTGACAACGTACTGACCGATTGAGCTATTCAAAAGGATCCAATTGGATGGCTCCATCGACGACATTTCAAGCTAGCTGTGGAGTGACCTTACGGCACGTTCTTAACTCTGTTACAACGACAACACTAGACGATGGGATTATTAGGATAAGGAAATAAGGATCTGGATAGAAGCAGTGAGGTTAAAGGGGGCCAGGAGTTAAATGGGGGTCAGGGAGCTGAAGGAGGTTAAAGGGGGGTCAGGGAGAAGGAGGTTAAAGGGGGGTCAGGGAGCAGAAGGAGGTTAAAGGGGCGTCAGGGAGCAGTAGGAGGTTAAAGGGGGGTCAGGGAGCTGAAGGAGGTTAAAGGGGGGTCAGGGAGCAGTAGGAGGTTAAAGGGGGGTCAGGGAGCTGAAGGAGGTTAAAGGGGGGTCAGGGAGCAGTAGGAGATTAAAGGGGGGTCAGGGAGCAGTAGGAGGTTAAAGGGGGGTCAGGGAGCAGTAGGAGGTTAAAGGGGGGTCAGGGAGCAGTAGGAGGTTAAAAAGTATAAAGTCATAAAGTACGTTATCTATCATTAAAGAACTTCCATGGGGTCAAAGGTGCTTTGATACAAACAGTAACTTCAGAAAGTATTCACAACCCTTTACTTTTTCCAAATTGTGTTTGTGTTACAGCCTGAATTTTCAATTGATTAAATTGAGACTTTTTGTCACTTGCTCACACAATACCCCATAATGTCAAAGTGGAATGATGTTTTTAGAAAAAAACAATTTATTAATAAAAAATGTAAAGCTGAAATGTCTTGAGTCAATAAGTTTTCAACCCCTTTGTTATGGCAGGCCTAAATAGATTCAGGAGCTTAACATGTTACATAATAAGTTTCATGGACTCACTGTGTGCAATAATAGTGATTAATAGTAATAAACATGATTTTTGAATGATTACCTCATCTCTGTACCCCACACATGCAATTATCTGTAAGGTCCCTCAGTCGAGCAGTGAATTTCAAACACAGATTCAACCAATGCCTCGCATAAAAGGGCACCTATTGGTAGACATTGAATATCCCTTTGAGCATGGTGAAGTTATTAATTACACTAATTACACCCAGTAACTACAAAGATACAAGCGTCCTTCCTAACTCTGAGAGGAAGAGGAAGGAAACCGCTCAGGGATTTCACCATGGGGCCAATGGTGACTTTAAAACAGTTACAGAGTTTAATGGCTGTGATAGTACACATCTGAGGATGGATCAACAACATTGTAGTTACTCTACAATACTAACCTAATTGACAGAGGGCAAAGAAGGAAGCCTATACATAATACAAATTATCCAAAACATGCATCCTGTTTGCAACAAGGCACTAAAGTAAAACTGCAAAAAATTTGGCAAAGCAATTACCTTTTTGTCCTGAATACAAAGTGTTATGTTTGAGGCAAATCCAATATAACACATTACTGAGTACCACTCTCCATATTTTCAAGCATAGTGGTGGCTGCATCATGTTCTGGGTATGCTTGTAATCGTTAAGGACTGGGGAGTTTTTCAGGATAAAAAAGAAACGGAATGGAGCTAAGCACAGTCAAAATCCTAGAGGAAAACCTGGTTCTGTCTGCTTTCCACCAAATACCGGGAGATTAATTCACCTTTCAGCAGGACAATAACCTAAAACACAAGGCCACATCTACACTGGAGTTGCTTACCAAGAAGACAGTGAATGTTCCTGAGTGGCCGAGTTACAGTTTTGACTTAAATCTACTTCAAAATCTATGGCAAGACCTGAAAATTGTTGTTTAGCAATGACCAACAACCAATTTGACAGAGCGTGAAGAATTTTGAAAATAATAATGGGCAAATGTTGTACAATCCAGGTGTGAAAAACTATTAGGGACTTACCCAGAAATACTCACAGCTGTACTCGCTGGCAAAGGTGCTTCTACAAAGTATTGACTCAGGGGTGTGAATACTTATGTAAATGAATATTTCTGTATTTCATTTTCAACAAATTTGCAAAGAAATCTAAAAACATGTTTTCACTTTGTCATTATTGGGTATTGTGTGTAGATGGGTGAGAAAAACAACAACTATTTAATCAATTTTGAATTCAGGATGTAACAACAAAATGTGGAATAAGTCAAAAGGTTAAAAATACTTTCTGAAGGCACTGTATAGGCTTAAAAAAATCATTTTCCAATTTCAAACATGTTTTGGGGAAATGTCACCCACTCTTCCTTTCAACAAAACAAATATCTTAGTTAGTAGACGTGAACTAGGACTTAAGCTGTAGAAACTGACGATTTGACCTGAATGTGTGCTTTACAGTACCATTCACTATTGGTTAGCAATATATTAACATCTGTCCTACGGGTCCAGTGACTCATTTTAAAGTTCAGCCATTTAAATGTTTTGGGATGTAACACAAACAATGATGAATATAAACCCTGGATTGCTGATGCTATGTATTGGCCATTGAGAGGCTTTGAAGCCCCCGGCGGCCATATTGGCACTCCCCAGTAGGAGCAGTCCTCCATATAGGAATTAATAGAATTCTACAGTATTTCAATTAAATGTTTCAAGGTCAAAATTACATATATTTAAGTATTTTCGTTGTTGTAGTGGGGAAAGTAACATTCGCACAGTTTTTTAATGTTTAGCTCACATAATATAATTACAAAATATGCATTAAGGTGTCTGTAATATACTGAACAAAAATATAAATGCAACATGTAAAGTGTTGGTCCCAAGTTTCATGAGCTGAAATAAAAGATCCCAGAAATGTTCCATATGCACAAAAAGCTTATTTCTCTCATAATTTGTGCACAAATTTGTTTGCATCCCTGTTAGTGAGCATTTCCAAGATAAAAAGTCCACCTGACAGGTGTGGCATATCAAGAAGCTGATTAAACAGCATGATCATTACACAGGTGCACCTTGTGCTGGGGACAATAAAAGGCCGCTCTAAACTTTGTAGTGTTGTCACACAACACAATGCCACAGATGTCTCATGTTGAGGGAGCGTACAATTGGCATGCTGACTGCAGGAATGTCCACCAGAGCTGTTGCTAGAGAATTGTATGTTACATTCTCTACCATAAGCCGCCTCCCAAGGATATTTTAGAGAATTTGGCAGTACGTCCAACCAGCCTCACAACCGCAGACCAAGTGTAACCACGCCAGCCCAGGACATCCACATCCGGCTTCTTTACCTGCGGGATCGTCTGAGATCAGCCACCCGGACAGCTGATGAAACTGAGGAGTATTTCTGTCTGTAATAAAGCCCTTTTGTGGGGAAAAACTCATTCTGATTGGCTGGGCCTGGCTCCCCAGTGGGTGGGCCCCTGCTCAGTCATGTGAAATCCATAGATTTGGGCCTAATGAATTTATTTAAATTGATTGATTTCCTTATATGAATTGTAACTCAGCACAATCGTTGAAATTGCTGCATGTTGCGTTTACATTTTTGTTCAGTATAGAATAAACGTGGCAAAAACAAATGTAGACTTTAATAAATGCATTTCTATAGCTTCCCAAATAAAAAAATTCAATGGTGGGGGAGTGCCAGGAGTGAGGCGCAGTGGCTTCAAAACAGCGCCGCCTGTCAGTCATCTAGTGTATATATAAATCATTGAACACAACCTATAGTTTTCAATATGTAACACTTAAAAGCTAACAATGCTCCAAAAGGTGACAATTCCTTTGACTTAGTTTTTTATGTTTCCATCTTTTTCCTTTCTTTAGCAGCCTATTTTTGAAACCCAACACCAATATTCATACAACCTAATGTTATGGTCTCTAGCACAGTGACTACAATGTTAGACCACAGTCCTCTTCTCTTACGTCTTCCTATAGGTCATTTTTGGTCTCAAGTATTTCTTTGTCTTCCTCATTCAGATTTTTACTACTCTGTGATAGGTCAGAGGCATATCCTCTCTCCACCTCCATGCCGTTGCTGGATAGGCCCACCCCTCTGTCCGTCATTGTCACGACATCCAACGAGCCAATAGGAAGCTGAGCTGAGTCTGAGGCGTCTATTGCTGGAGTGGTGCTAGTGTCTGCTGTTCCGCTGTTGGTAACAGTCCTGCATGGGGATGAGAGGGCGAAAGGTCAGTGTCCATCACCATAGGAACATACTAGGGGAAAACATGCCGAAGGAAGAGGGTGGGAGTGAGAGAGGTAGGGAGAGAGAAAGAAGTAGGAATGGAGAGAGATATGGGGCAGGGAAAGGAGGAGGGAGGGATGTAAGATCCCAGTAAGCAAAATGACATTGAAAATATGTCTTTTTGACATCTAGGTACTGAATGAAAGGTGAAAATATGTATTTTCCGGACGTTGAAAATACGTATTCTCCGGGCGTTGAAATCGGGTGCATATTTGGTGCTGAATTAAAGGTGAAAATACGTATTTTCCAGATGTTGAAAAGACGTCAATAACCAACGTTGAAAATACTTATTTTTTCAGTCATTGATTCTATGGCCAACTTTCATATGCATATACATTCTCAATGAAGTAAGCATTATATCACAATACGTTTTCAAGCCTCTTTATTATATGAAAAAGGAGCCAACTCAAGATTGCATTTATATGTATTTTGTCACATGCACTTATGTGATCTTTTTCAAAAGCTTTAAAACTTGCTATTCTTGCTATGACTGTGCTATGATGTTGTTTATCTACCTTAGTTGAATGCACTGACTGTAAGTCGCTCTGGATAAGAGCGTCTGCTGAATGACCAAAATGTAAATGTAAAAAACAAACACTTACAAAGCATGCTGGGTATTATTCTAATGAGTCCTGCCCCAAACAAGTACACATTTGGTCGGGGCGGACCAGATCCAAATCTGAACGAATCATAGACGTCTATGGTATGTTTCATTAGTTTGAACATCACAGTACAGTACGGCACAGTTTAATACAGCAGAGCACAGTAGAGCACAGTACAGTACGGTACAGTAAACTTGATTTCAGTAGAGTAGAGTTTAATTCATTAGAGTAGAATACATTAAGAGTAAAGTAGGGTACAATACAGTAGGGGAGAGTGGGGTAAGTTGAGCCACCCTTGTTTCTAGGAAACCATACATAACATTTATAATTTCACCAAATATTTAGGAAGAGGTCATCCTTTCATGTAGTCTGTAAAGGAAGAAATCAGTTGGGATCTCTATAAGCTTCAATATGAGGTCCTAAACCTAGCATGCATCCTTGTAGCTGTGGGGGCTAATATAGTCAAAATATTTGCCTTGGGGTAAGTTGAGCCAATAGTTGAGCAAATGTAAGTGTTTTCTTCCCAGGTGTAATGCAAGGCGTTATCACTGGGATATGAGGTAACAACAGGGCCTGGCCTATGTTAAAAGTGTTTAAAAAAGTACAAAGTGTTTGTTAGGTGTTAAAATATGCTTAAAATGATTCAAATACAAAAAAAGTTATTGTGTTGGGGAAAAAAAGATAGACATGGTTTTAAAAGGTAGTGGTAATATTTAATTCAGTACAGAAATGTGTAGGCGACTTAACTTTCACTATCCTGCGATGTAATGTACTGTACTCTGCTGTGCTCTACTGTACTGTACTGTACTCTGCTGTGCTCTACTGTACTGTATTGTACTGTACTCTGCTGTGCTCTACTGTACTGTAATGTACTGTAATCTGCTGTGCTCTACTGTACTGTATTGTAATGTACTGTACTCTGCTCTACTGTACTGTGTACTGTAATGTACTGTACTCTGCTGTACTCTACTGTACTGTATTGTACTGTACTGTACTCTGCTGTGCTCTAATGTACTCTAGTGTAATGTACTGTACTCTGCTGTGCTCTACTGTACTGTGTACTGTAATGTACTGTACTCTGCTGTGCTCTACTGTACTGTAATGTACTGTAATCTGCTGTGCTCTACTGTACTGTAATGTACTGTACTCTGCTGTGCTCTACTGTACTGTATTGTACTGTACTGTACTCTGCTGTGCTCTACTGTACTGTAATGTACTGTACTCTGCTGTGCTCTACTGTACTGTATTTTACTGTACTGTACTCTGCTGTGCTCTACTGTACTGTATTGTACTGTAATCTGCTGTGCTCTACTGTACTGTATTGTAATGTACTGTACTCTGCTCTACTGTACTGTGTACTGTAATGTACTGTACTCTGCTGTGCTCTACTGTACTGTATTGTACTGTACTCTGCTGTGCTCTACTGTACTGTATTGTACTGTACTCTTCTGTGCTCTACTGTACTGTATTGTACTGTACTCTGCTGTGCTCTACTGTACTGTATTGTACTGTACTCTGCTGTGCTCTAATGTAATGTACTGTACTCTGCTGTGCTCTAATGTACTCTAGTGTAATGTACTGTACTCTGCTGTGCTCTACTGTACTGTGTACTGTAATGTACTGTACTCTGCTGTGCTCTACTGTACTGTATTGTACTGTACTCTGCTGTGCTCTACTGTACTGTGTACTGTAATGTACTGTACTCTACTGTACTGTATTGTACTGTACTCTGCTGTGCTCTACTGTACTGTATTGTAATGTACTGTACTCTGCTGTGCTCTACTGTACTGTGTACTGTACTCTGCTGTACTGTACTCTGCTTTGCGCTACTGTACTGTGTTGTACTGTACTCTGCGTCTGTATAGACGTCTATGATTGGTTCAGATTTGGTCTGGTCCGGACAAAAAATCTACATCCTTCAAATAAATAAAAAAGACGTTGCTGTCAGTAAATGCTTAGTGGGAAAACTCAGGCACAGAACTAAATACTAATAGAATATATTATATTGTATCTCTATGGACTCACATGCCGTGTCGGAGGACGTGGCGTTCCCACTCTATGCTGTTGGTGAAGCAACGACCACAGAACTCACAGGGGAAACGCTTCTCAGCGGAGGCAGACACACTCACAGTCACACTGCTGCTGCTGGGGGAGATCACGGGGACGTCTGGAGGACAGACAGCGATCAGCATGACGAGGGGTTAGTAACAGACATACAGCAAAGACAGATATAACAGGCCCCCAGTTACATCACATTACTGATCAGTGACAGGGCCAGTAACAGGGTTGTGTTCATTAGGGCACATGTAACAAAACGTTTTGAAACAGTCCCTCCCCTGATTCAGTCAGTTATCTTCCGTTTGGTGCCTAGTGAACACAGCTCAAAGATTCTTGTTTACCTTTAGGAACAAGCTTTTCTGCCACTCCCTCTTCCTCTTCCTCCTCTAGCTCTTCATCTCTAGTCTCTTCCATCTCCACTTCATCCTCCATCATCTCTTCTTCCATGACCATTCCATCCTCCTCTCTCTCCTCTTCCTCCTCGGCACTACTGTGAGTCTCCTTTAAAGCATCCAGCTGATCCAGATTGACCCGCCCCATCGACTCAAAGTTACGGATCACCTGATCAACAAGAGAAAGAGAGGTATCATCAGTATGTTCTAACTGCTGTCATGTTGTTGTTTACTTGTCTCCTCGTAAAACTCAGAAAAATGTTTCCCTCTGGGATGAATTAAGTTTATTGGATTGAGTTTAATAGAATTAAACGTGATGTAGCGGTACTGTATAAAACCATGATTCAACGTGAAGCACAATTTCTACAATTTACGAGCGCCACAAACCATGATTGACAGGTATCATGTCAGAAAATAATTATCTAATTGACTATTAGTACAAACAATGAGCTCATGGAACAGTAACTTCTCAGTCTTCCCTCGATAAACAGCTAGTATCGTCTGAGCCCTTTTAAGTTTAATGTCACTTCAACCTCATGAAAGGCCATCTGCACTCATTCAGCAAGGGCCTATGGGAAATTAAACCTATTCTTTGTGATATGCACTCAGAATACATAGCAGGATGTATGTGTGTGGGATGTGAATCATCTTGCTTGATTTACTTTGTATGACTTCAGATCCTTTTTACCGATAAGCACATTTTATCTGCATGTGATGGAGGTATAATAACTTCTATGATAAAGTACTGAAATAACTCAGAACTTATTAGACACTGATATAATAACTTCTATGATAAAGTACTGAAATAACTCAGAACTTATTAGACACCGATATAATAACTTCTATGATAAAGTACTGAAATAACTCAGAACTTATTAGACACCGATATAATAACTTCTATGATAAAGTACTGAAATAACTCAGAACTTATTAGACACCGATATAATAACTTCTATGATAAAGTACTGAAATAACTGAGAACTTATTAGACACCGATATAATAACTTCTATGATAAAGTACTGAAATAACTCAGTACTTATTAGACACCGATATAATAACTTCTATGATGTGGTCCTCTGTAGCTCAGCTGGTAGAGCACGGCGCTTGTAACGCCAAGGTAGTGGGTTCGATCCCCGGGACCACCCATACACAAAAATGTATGCACGCATGACTGTAAGTCGCTTTGGATAAAAGCGTCTGCTAAATGGCATATTATTATTATTATTATATGATAAAGTACTGAAATAACTCAGAACTTATTAGACACAGATATAATAACTTCTATGATAAAGTACTGAAATAACTCAGAACTTATTAGGCACCGATATAATAACTTCTATGATAAAGTACTGAAATAACTCAGAACTTATTAGACACCGATATAATAACTTCTATGATAAAGTACTGAAATAACTCAGAACTTATTAGACACTGATATAATAACTTCTATGATAAAGTACTGAAATAACTCAGAACTTATTAGACACTGATATAATAACTTCTATGATAAAGTACTGAAATAACTCAGAACTTATTAGGCACTGAGACCTCTTGAAGCCGTCTCTGAGAGGATACAAGCTGGCACGATCTTGTGATTGTCTCAGGATGACATCCTTAGAGAACTGCCTATTTTAAAAAGCAAGTAGGTAATTTTGGATTACTTTCTTTTAAAGCCGACCCATCCTGCCAAATACAATTTCCCCAGGACCTGTACTAAAACAGCTGAATTAAAGATTGAATTAAAGATTGGTGTGTAGGCTACCCCAAAGTTTAAAAAAGATGAACAGGAAGAGCATGTGTCAAGGCAGGGCATGCTGGGAGTTGGCGTTCAGACCTCATCGTGGAGGGTGAAAACAAGGATATAATATAAAATCAACACACTTCCCATATTGACAGGAAGAAGTCCCTTGCATATGTGCCAGCCAGACAGGCTGAATGCTGGGAGTTGTAGTTCTGAGTCTGACTTACCTTGTGCTCGTCTCGGAGGTGTTCCTCCAGCTGGTGGCGCTGCCTGCTGTCGTAGTAGCACAGCTGGCACTGGTACGGTTTCATCTCGTTGTGCTTGGTGATGTGCAGCTGCAGGCTCTGGTCGCTGGAGCAGGTGAAGGTGCACTTGTGGCAGCGGAACACCACGCCCGCCAGGTGGCGAGACAGCTTGGAGCGGGACACCTCCAGGGGTACCACGCGCTCCTCTGTGGGGAGGGTGAGAGAGGGGGGTGAGGGGGAGGGGGAGGGGGGAGAGACAGAAAGAGAGAATGACTATTGTGTAAACATCATAACACTCTCAACTGTGAAGTCATATCTTAGCACAGGGGGTTGGTGGCACCAGGGGAGGAGGGGCTCGTGGTAATGGCTGGGGCGGAATCAGTGGAATGGTATCAAATACATCAAACACATGTTTCCATGTGTTTGATGCCATTCCAATCGCTCCATTCCAGCCATTATTATGAGCCGTCCTCCCCTCAGCAGCCTCCAATGTATCTTAGTAAGTGTAGCTAATCACTTTGTTGTGTGACAATACGGTGTGATATCTGGCACTGCGAGACTAGTACAGCTGTGACTTTAAGCTCAATAAGACCACTACACCTGGCACTAAGAGTTGTTTCCCTCTGAATTGTCTTATCAATACGTGAGCAGATAAACTATGTGTTGGATGGCTTACCCCTGTGCAGGACGATGTGGTCGATCATATTGCTCTTGTGTTTGGTGTGGTAGAGACAGAGGGGACAGCGCAGGTCTTTGTGACCCTCCTCAAGAACCACGGTGTGTCCTGCTTCCACATGCATGGTGAATGCTGACCTGAGAGGAACCAAACAGATGTAGTGAGGCCGAAGGGACATGAGAAAACAACCAGCACAATCAGTTGCCAAGCAACCATCATAAAACTCCCCAAAAATGAAGAAACTGAAGACAATTCGTCTTTCCTTGATTTCTTCATGTACACTCTCCTCTCCTTTTTCTCAACATGTATTTGAGGAGAATGTCCGAAGCGAGGGACCTTGGATCCTCTCCTCCAGTGCGGTTTGAGAAGGAGGAAAGAGGACGTGAGGACTCAAAGAAAGACTAATTGAAAAAGAGCCCATTTTATGTTGTCACAGTAACATTAATTTGCTTACTTGGAGCAGGTGAAGAAGGAGCAATCTTTGCACTTGAACAGCTTCTTCCCTCCGTGTCGGTCTCTGTAGTGGCGGCGCAGGCTCTGCATGTATCCCGAGCTGAACTCACAGAACTCACAGGTCAGGATGCCGTCTGGACGTGTGTCGGAGGTTGCGCCCTGTGGCGGAGAGGTCACATGACTACGTGACGCTAGCTGATAGTGACTGAGCTGCTGCCGTACATCCGCCGTCTCATCCAGGTACCCAGCGTCTAGAAAGAGGGAAGAGAGAGTGGGGGGGCTGAGTATGTATATGATATAATACACTACCATTCAGCAGACACTTTTATCCAAAATGACTCGCAGCACAGTTACAGTACAATTAGTGATTTCTTTGTGTGTGATCCCTCCGGGAATTGAACCCACAACCTTGGCATTGCTAGTGCTACGCTAATGCAAACTAAGCCACACAGGACCACATGGATAAAAATCATGAAGAAATACTGCCTTTCAAAAGGTTACAGTAACTTCCTTTTATATACTGTAGCAATCATCTATAGTTATTAACAGAGAAAACACCCTGTCAGGAACTCAAACAGGCTGTGATGATTCACCCAAACAGCTATAAAAGTAAACATGGCTTCAGAATCAGAATGGATCTGGAGTGTGTTGGGTTTTACTTCTAGAATTCCAAAGGATTCTAGAATGGAATTCAAACCCACCAAGGCTCTACACACTAAGAATGGGTTCCTCAAGGGTTCTTTGGGAAGAGTGATGGTTGTATGTGGAACCATAATGACTCAAATAACCCTTTGAGCCCTTCAATGGTTCTTTGCAGTTCACAAAAGGGTTATTTTCTCTTTTAGTGCTAATTAAAATGTAGGTGAAGTAGCTCAATATAATATTTTGGGGCGTGGTTTACGCACTGCTGTTTTTGTGCAACCGTGAATGAGAGTGTCATTCCAGTTTATCGAATTTGTTGTGTTATGCCATAACATCTTATACATGACTAGTGCCAGTAACGGTGTCTTGAAAGAATCAAGTAAGGCCTTGAGTCAATTGAGAACCGTTGACTAAATTAGTGGTTCTCAATTCTCCCTTCAGCGACCTCCAGCTGTTCCAGAGTTAGTACACCTTATTCAACTTGTCAATGAACACAATAATGGCACCTATGGAATTTTAACAATATGGCTAACCAGAATAAAAACCCTGTATGGTTCTTCAAAAGGATCAATAAAGGACCTTTGAGATTGAGGAAGGTTCTTTATAGAACCAACCTCCATAAAGGTTCTATAAAGAACTATTAAAAAGGGTTCTATATAGCCCCCAAAAGGGTTGGAACCATCGCAAAACCCTTTTTTGGTGCTATATAGGACCTTTTATTAATGAAGGTTCGATAACAGAGGTTCCATTTAGAATCGTATGAGCATGTTTCTTTACAGAACCTTAAAAAAAAGGTTCTATATAGCACCAAAAAGGGATCCACTGTGGTACCAAGCCAAATAACCCTTATTTGGCACTATATAGAACCATTCGTTTTTAGTGTGTACTGTAACATCCCAGAACTGTGCCTGTGATTGTCACCCCCCCCCCCCACAAGTGTGTGTATGATATCAGTGAGCGACCTCATCTACTCGTCCTACTTCCAGAGTACACCACATCAATAAATAAAACCAAGTGCCGGTAAAAGGATGTCAGCATGTGAAAAATGGCTCATTCAGCAGTGTGGCAAGATGAAGCGAGTGCAGGAGACGGCAGAAATAAAGACCGTACTATAACTTTTTCAAATGCATGCGATGGTAGAGAAAATAGTATAAATCGAACAAGCCACACTTGATTCATAACAGCAGGTACAGTAAAATCCTTTGAGAAAGTAGTAATCTGTCTTCTTAAATGGTAGTAACAGAAGCCAATAGTTCTGCCCAAGAGCTGTTGAACAGTGCTGAACCACCATGAAGCAGGCAGCAAGCAGCAGAGTCCCCGGGGACTTTAGGAGATCAGCCAAGTGGAATATGTTTACACTAGTATCATGACGACCACAGATATGCAACAGTCAAGAACTTTCATAGGAAAACCCTGCACCTAACTATAAGACAACTCAAACACTAATTGTAAAAATCTACTAGTTCTAACGTTTAACCAGCCTACAAAGGTAAGTAAGGGAGATATATTTGATATGCTCTGGTCCCCCTCAATGCTTCATTTGTCAGCTGTAGCCAACGGTGACATGGCGGTTGCATTCCACAGTGCTTCTCTGCTCTGCTCTCTGGGTTCCACTTCCACCTAGAGGGAAAATTCCATTGTGCCCGCAGCTAGATGACACCTGCCAAGAACATTCTAGAACAGAGTGGGCAGTCGGTTGGAGGGCCAGGCACCTGACACGCTAGTTTAACGCTTTCTGGAACCAGTCATGGGCACAAAAAGAAAGGTGGATCCTGTTTGATCAGGTCTAACAATGTGAATCCTGTGATTTGAGAGGGAGACCATGCATTAGCTCCTATCCCAGTGTTTCCCCTAGCGGTAACATGGGCTGCCCTGCTGAGTTCTGATGCTCTCCAGCTTTGAAATGAATGAGGCTTGTACTGGTAGTAATTGAAAATGTGTATTTGTGTCAACAGCACCCAACCCCAAATATTGCCTTTGTAGTAAGTATTATTGTTTTGTATATACAGTTGAAGTCGGAAGTTTACATACACTTAGGTTGGAGTCATTAAAACTCATTTTTCAACCACTCCACAAATGTCTTGTTAACAAACTATAGTTTTGGCAAGTCGGTTAGGACATCTACTTTGTGCATGACACAAGTAATTTTTCAAACTATTGTTTACAGACAGATTATTTCAATTATAATTCACTGTATTACAATTCCAGTAGGTCAGAAGTTTACATACACTAAGTTGACTGTGCCTTTAAACAGCTTGGAAAATTCCAGAAAATGATGTCATGGCTTTAGAAGCTTCTGATAGGCTAATTGACATCATTTGAGTCAATTGTACCTGTGGATGTATTTCAAGGCCTACCTTCAAACTTAGTGCCTCTTTGCTTGACATCATGGGAAAATTAAAAGAAATCAGCCAAGACCTCTGAAAACAAATTGTAGACCTCCACAAGTCTGGTTCATCCTTGGGAGCAATTTCCAAACGCCTGAAGGTACCACGTTCATCTGTACAAACAATAGTACGCAAGTATAAACACCATGGGACCACGCAGCCGTCATACCGCTCAGGAAGGAGACGCGTTCTGTCTCCTAGAGATGAACGTACTTTGGTGCGAAAAGTGCAAATCAATCCCAGAACAACAGCAAATGACCTTGTGAAGATGCTGGAGGAAACAGGTACAAAAGTATCTATATCTACAGTAAAACAAGTCCTATATCGACATAACCTGAAAGGCCACTCAGCAAGGAAGAAGCCACTGCTCCAAAACCGCCATAAAAAAGACAGACTACGGTTTGCAACTGCACATGGGGACAAAGATCGTACTTTTTGGAGAAATGTCCTCTGGTCTGATGAAACAAAAATAGAACTGTTTGGCCATAATGACCATTGTTATGTTTGGAGGAAAAGGGGGGATGCTTGCAAGCCGAAGAACACCATCCCAACTGTGAAGCATGGGGGTGGCAGCATCATGCTGTGGGGGTGCTTTGCTGCAGGAGGGACTGGTGCACTTCATAAAATAGATGGCATCATGAGGAAGGACAATTATGTGGATACATTGAAGCAACATCTCAAGACATCAGTCAGGAAGTTAAAGCTTGGTCGCAAATGGGTCTTCCAAATGGATAATGACCCCAAGCATACTTCCAAAGTTGTGGCAAAATGGCTTAAGGACAACAAAGTCAAGGTATTGGAGTGGCCATCACAAAGCCCTGACCTCAATCCTATAGAAAATGTGTGGGCAGAAATGAAAAAGCGTGTGCGAGCAAGGAGGCCTACAAACCTGACTCAGTTACACCAGCTCTGTCAGGAGGAATGGGCCAAAATTCACCCAACTTATTGTGGGAAGCTTGTGGAAGGCTACCCGAAACGTTTGACCCAAGTTAAACAATTTAAAGGCAATGCTACCAAATACTAATTGAGTGTATGTAAACTTCTGACCCACTGGGAATGTGATGAAATAAATAAAAGCTGAAGTAAATAATTCTCTCTACTATTATTCTGACATTTCACATTCTTAAAATATAGTGGTGATCCTAATTGACCTAAGACAGGGAACTTTTACTAGGATTAAATATCAGGAATTATGAAAAACTGAGTTTAAATGTATTTGGCTAAGGTGCATGTAAACTTCCGACTTCAACTGTAGGTTGTAATATGGATTTTTTCCTGGGCTTGGCTTCCCCAGTGATTTTACCCACGCACCGCTACTGGTAATCCTAGCCGTCCGATAGGCCAGCGGTAGGCCTATAGTGCACTTGATTCGTTCTCCGGGCCCGCCGGGAATGCAGAGTTTGTACCTTCAGACACATGAAATGGTTAAAAATGCACCAACCGCCAACACCGCAAGACAAATAAAATAGGAACGCAAATAAAATGGCAATCGACTAGGAATGCCTTGGAGATCGACCACGGTTGGTGACCACTGCTACATTGAGTGTAAAATGTTCAATTACAGCATTATTTAATCTGCAGTATTCTTCTGCTATTTATTATGTTAACCATAATATTTACACGTTAAAATTATCTTCTGATTATAATTATGTCTCATCTTTTAACTAAATGCAATCTATTAGCTATTGAAATGTAAATAGGTATATCTAGCTGTCCAATAACACTGATTAAATGGCTTATCCTGCACTTTGTAAAAACCCAGAGTGCATTGAGTGAATGTTGGAAAAATATCTTGGTTCCTTTCTAAACATAGCAATGTGAATGCAAAGAGGACTCGGACCACAAAATACACTACATGGCCAAATCATGGGCATTAATATGGAGTTGGTCCCCCCTTTGCTGCTATAACAGCCTCCAGTCTTCTGGGAAATATTTCCACTAGATGTTGCAACATTGCTGCAGGGACTTGCTTCCATTCAGCCACAAGACCATTAGTGAGGTCGGGCACTGATGTTGGGCGATTAGGCCTGGCTCGCAGTCAGCGTTTCAATTAATCCCAAAGGTGTTCAATGGGGTTGAGGTCAGGGCTCTGTGCAGGCCAGTCAAGTTCTTCCACACCGATCTCGACAAACCATTTCTGTATGGACCTCGCTTTGTGCACAGGGGCATTGTCATGCTGAAACAGGAAAGGGCCTTCCCCAAACTTTTGCCACAAAGTTGGAAGCACAGAATCGTCTAGAACGTATTGTATGCTGTATTGTTTAAGATTTCCCTTCACTGGAACTAAGGGGCCTAGGCCGGACCATGAAAAACAGCCCCAGACTATTATTCCTCCTCCACCAAACTTTTCATTTGGCACTATGCATTCGGGCAGGTAGCGTTCTCTAGGCATCCGCCAAACCCCGATTCATCCGTCGGACTGCCAGATGGTGAAGCGTGATTCATCACTCCAGAGAACACATTTCCACTGCTCCAGAGTCCAATGGCGGCGAGCTTTACACCACTCCAGCCGACGCTTGGCATTGCGCATGGTGAGCTTAGGCTTGTGTGAGGCTGCTCGGCCATGGAAACCCATTTCATGAAACTCCCGACAAACAGTTATTGTGCTGACGTTGCTTCCAGAGACAGTTTGGAACTCGATAGTGAGTGTTGCAACCGAGGACAGACGATTTTTACGCGTTACGCGCTTCAGCACTCAGCGGTCCCGTTCTGTGAGCTTGTGTAGCCCATCACTTCGCAGCTAAGCCGATGTTTCTCCTAGACGTTTCCACTTCACAATGACAGCACTTATAGTTGACCGGGGCAGTTTTAGCAGGGCAGAAATTTGACAAACTGACTTGTTGGAAAAGTGGCATCCTATGACGGTGCCACGTTGAAAGTCAGTGAGCTCTTCAGTAAGGCCATTCTACTGTCAATGTTTGTCTATGGAGATTGCATGGCCATGTGCTCGATTTTATACACCTGTCAGCAACGGGTGTGGCTGAAATAGCCGAATCCACTAATTTAAAGGATGTCACATACTTTTGCACACTGTATATAGTGTAAGTGAAGTGAACTGGCCAAAAATTTTAGTCCTCATTCAAAGGCAAGGGCAGTGTGAATACAAAGACAACAGCTCACTTTAAAGGGGACTGAGATCGGTTATTTTAAAGACTATATGTGAAAACACCCTAAGATGCATATCAGTGAATAATCAGAAATTAGTGCTCATTTGAAAAAGAGATGTTCATCTCAATAACCTCCCTGGTTAAATAAATAAAACCAAAAACAATCTACGATCAATAAAAGTCTCCCATCTCAGTCTACTTGGAAATACAGATGGAGCTCTTACCGTCAAGGTTAGAGGTCAGGGGTGTCTGGTGAGGGTCTAAGCCCAGCCTGAGGGGCCTGGTCTGGGGGCCCTGGGTCTGGGTGGTAGCGCCAGCACGAAGCCTGGGGAGGGTTAGGGCCTCCCCATGGTCCCTCAGAGAGTGCTCCTTCAGCTGGCTGATAGTCATTGAGGAGAAGGGGCAGGACAAGCACTTATAGGTGTTCTCGCCTGTAAAATAATAATAATAATAATAATAATAGTAATAATAATAGTAAGTAAAGTAACCCAGAGTCAGAATGGCTCATAATAAAACATGGGTTTTATGTAATCGTTAGAGATTCTCAAGGTCCCAAAGACACCTGTATGTGTCAAGAATAAATAAAGAGCAAATCAATATTTGACAGTTTGATGATAACATAGCACTAAATATAACTTCATTAAAGACCAAGTCACAGTAAAAAAAACGATGATGATAGTGTAAAAGAAAGGACTATCTCTCTTTGGCAAAGTAGCAGAAACGATGATGATAGTGTAAAAGAAATGACTCTCTCTCTTTGGCAAAGTAGCAGAAACTTTGGTCAGAGAGAGACTCGTTTGAGAGCGGCTTTATCCAACTTAGTATGGAGTTGAACACGTCAGTCAGTGTTCAGACTCAGAGTCGCTCAAGACACGAAAATCTGCCGCTTTTCTGCCAATGTTCTTTTTTTGACACTTTTTATGATGACCACACCGAGTCCATTCAAGGGCAAATCGATTGGCTTGATACTATATTGTAAGTCCAAAAGCTTTCAGCCAGACTGACAGAGCCAGTGCCTTTGGCTGCCGACGGATCTGAAAAGAGGGGTGCTGACACTCATTTTCTGCTGCTCTACCCTTGAATGACTTTTGCACCTTATCGAGAGAACCAGCATTCACATGCCACAAGCTATGGATTCCACAGCATACACATGATCCATCACCAAGGCAGCAATCCAAACCCAATCTTTTTCAACTGTCCCGTTATCTGGTTTTAATGTCCATTCTAGAATGCCCTTCCAGCCAATCAGAAACTAGTATTCAACAATGCTGTGGTATAATATACTGTCTACAACAGACCATGTCAGAACACTTTCAACATGTAATCAAATTCTAAATGGCTCTGGTTCAGAGTCGATTATCTGAAGCAATTGTTGATTGTTGTTGACTCATTTATGTGTTATTTTCCAATCATAACTGAGACAACATTCATGACTAGTTTTTAGATGGTTCATCTATCTACTCGCATTGTCATTTGTGATGATTGGCTATCATATCTATTCCTCTGTTCTGGCGTTGGCTCACTGGCTGCATCTGTGCAGTCTATAGGAGTAAATATCCAACCTACATCACACACAGAGCAAATCCGCAGCCACTTGTACGACAGATATTCACTGCACTCAATGACAGGCTGAGTTTCAGATATTCCCATAGGGGACATCTAACGGAATAATGATATTAGAGTATATTTAAGATATTCCCATAGGGGACATCGAAGGGAATACTGATATTAGTGTTGATTTAGTATCCTCGAACAGCTCTGGTAAAGTCATACATTCAGACTAGGCCACAGGCCAATACACAGCTGTGGACAATAATAACCCACTAGCTTGGTCCCAGATCAGTTTGTGTTGTTTAGCCAGCTCCTATTAAGTAATGTTTGGCAGCATGAACAGATCTGGGACCAGCAGGCTAATAACATACCATGTTACAGTACACATGGGTTGCGTCTGAATTGTCATCCGATTCACCAGAGCCCTGTAGAAGTAGTGTACTACCCACATGAAAAAATACAACAGTTTACTATACTGCCCTACCAAGTAAAAGAGCAGTAACTTGTAAAAATGGCTTTAAAGTTTTAATTGTCCAGCCAAATGAGTTGGCAGATCACTGAAAATGTGGTTATCTGTTGTCTTACTATGAGGTAATTTTTTATTCATATTGACCCTGACCTCTGACATGACCTTTGACCCTAGACGGCAGTTACTACCTTCTTGCTTGGCACAACCACTGGAATACGTTTCTATTATGATTTTTTTTAAACAAACTTGTGTTCATAGATTTATTTGTATGTGGCTATCAGTTTCATATAGTTTGATACTTGTATCAGCAAAGAAGAATCAATAATAATAAGGTAAACCGTAGACACTGCAGCTTGGTGATACCAAGGTAAAAGGCAGTAAATTACGTGCTTTTTCCCTTGGTTTTACTGTACATTTTTGCAGTTACTGCAAACATGACCCCCCATTCTCTCCATAACGCAACACAATGGAGGTAGGATATTTGTCCACATGATAAAGCATGTATTTAATGTATCAAAAATGTCAGTAACACATTTTTGACCAAATGTGCAGTTATTGCTCTTTTGCTTGGTAGGGCAGTATAGAATACTACAGTACTTACTATTATACTGTAGAATACTATACTACCTACTGTAGTATCCCTCGATCATGTGTAGTACTTACTATAGAATGTTGTAGTATACTGTAGAATACTATAGTAAATACTACAGTATTATAAAAAAAAGAAAACTGTAGTAAATACTACAGTAATGTCCGCAAAAACACAACACGTTTTTAAAAAACTACAGTAAATACTACAGTATCTTTTTTGCATATACCCTGCCCATTCCCCTCCCCCATATTATAATGTGTGCCACCCGTAAGTGAGAAAGCTACATGCCAAGTATAGACCATACAACGTGTTCCCTACAGGTTATAGAAAAGAGCAGAAGCACTGAATTATCCGTTCAGAAAAATGTGCTCTTTTAGTATTTCTCCAGTAGGTTTTCTAAAGGAGAAAGCCTCCACTTCCATGTCAAAGATAATTAAACAAAAACACTATAGTAAATACTACAGTAATGTCTGCAAAAACACTACAGTAAATACTACAGTATAGTACAGTCCGCAAAGAAGCTACAGTAAATACTACAGTATACTATAATGAACAAAAACACTACAGTAATTATTGTAGTATATACTACAGTTTTGTTTAACTGCAGTATTTATACTATAGTTAACTGTAAATACTATAGTATAATACAGTATACTACAGTAAATTCTACAGTATAATACAGTATTCACTGTAGTGTTTTTGCATACTACAGTAAAGTCTGCAAAAACAGTATTTATACCATAGTATTTCTTTATGTGGTTCTATAGGGAATAGGGTTCTATTTGGAACACTGTCCGTTTCATGTAGTCGTAGAGAGCTCAGGGAGGTAGGTTGTGGTTGTTGTTTTCTACCTGCGTGTGCTTTGTGTAGGTGACTCTTCAGGCGACTCAGGTAGGCAGACTTAAAGGGACAGAGCTTGCATCTGAAAGGCTTGTGGTGCCCATGGTGGGACTGCACGTGTCTGTCCAGACTGAGGAGATGGAGACAGAGAGCGAGAGAGCGAGAGAGCGAGAGAGCGAGAGAGAGAGCGAGAGAGCGAGAGAGAGAGAGAGAGAGAGAGAGAGAGAGAGAGAGAGAGAAATGTTTACACACATGTTCCAACACATCACAACAGGGAAGCAGAGGGAATCTGTTTGCATCTAACTTCCTTTTTCAGAACCACCATTTTCAATGACTATTAAGCAGAGGCTGTAGGGGTAAACCATCTACCACAGTCCCTGTATCCCTAGTGTATCTCTTTGTGTCTGACTGCAAACCACATAGAAGGTATCTGGGGAATATTAGTGTGTTTTCATCCAAGCCTCTTGGGTGGCATGGGAACGCATTTACTTTCTGGGTCAGGGCACATGCAGTACAATGGGTTAACACAATGGAGCTCAACAAAGATGAAGTCTTTCAGCTTTGGATAAGAAGACAAATTACTCTATCAAAATGTCTGCTATGTCTGCAGTGTCTCACTGGACTGGACTGGAGTGAGCTTTGGAGGAAATGTGTGTTCCATCTAGCCTGGTGCCAGATCTGTTAGTTCTCTTTCCTTCTCTATTGCTGTCACTGTCAATCACAAACAGACTGGCACTTAGGCTACATTCCATCCAGAGAGTACGTTGATATAAAGCGCAGCTCAGGAGGCAGATGCTGTGGAGTAAACACCATACAGAACACAGCCACACACACCAAGACATTAGCGGACACTATTCATCATAACAGTAACACACTCAATCTTAAACAATACAGAGGGCCTACGTCATTGAACTCCAAATCCCAGAATGCCCCTGATACATACATGTACTGTTTTCTCTTCGTGGGTGTGTGTGTGACAAGCAGTGAACCAATAATTTATATTCTCTCTTTAAGTCTATATTATGTCCTCTTACTTGTGTCTGAAGGGGGAGACGAACTGGCAGTACTGGCAGCTGTACTTGTCCTCTCTGGTGAACATGGCCATGGCTGAGTGGCTCCTCTCGTGGGACCTCAGCCCCTGCATGGACATGAAGACGCGGTCGCACTGAGCGCACGGGTGTCCCCCCACCAGCCTCTCCTTCACCTGCTGGCCGATGTGCGCCACTTCCCCAACCCCCTCTCCAACTGCTCCAACTGCCATTTCCATGGCAACAGCAGCCACCGGGGCCATCGCTGTGGCATCCATCGTCATGTCCTTGGGGGTTGTCTCCATGATGGAGTTGTCGGTCACCTCTTCCACCTCTCCGTTGGTGATGCTGTTCTCTCCCGGGATGGTGGACAATGGTACATCTGTGACTTCCTGCTGAGGTGAAGGACAGAGAGAGAACAGCATTATAACAGCTATATTTATTTATCATTTCCATATGCTTTGGCAGTTAACATGTCGCCCTGACTAGTGTACTCCAAACTGTTGCCATTGTACCAAACTAACCTTGCTTTAGGCCTAGGCTTTGGCTCACTGGGCTAACACAGTCTTGTGGTGCGTAGAGAACTTGAGATTGAACCTAGTCAGTCATACCATCATGGCTGAATATGTTATTATTTGATTCCTGAATTTAATTTAAAATCAATATTGCTAGCTGTGATTGCACGTCAAATGGAATAACCACCCTACTGGCATGGACATACTATAGAGAAGGGATAGGCAACTAGATTCAGCCGCAGGTCTTTTTTTGTCGGAGCGGATGGTCAGGGGGCAGGAACATAATTTATAATAATTTTTACACTGCAAATTGACCACAACTAAGCCCAAAAAGAGATTGTATTTGAAAATAACAATTATTTCCAACCTTGATTACATTGATACACGATCACATATGTCTCTTTTATTTGTGGGAATACTTGGGAACATATTTCCTAAATTAAACTCATTTTTAGCTGAATTCCTGCTGATTTTACAGTCTTTCTTCACCAAAAATATGTTTTTTACTAAAAACTTTGCAGGCCAAGAAAACCCACTCGCAGGCCGGTTTTGGCCCGCGGGCCGCCTGTTGCCGAGCCCTGCTGTAGAGAACAGTTAATGAAACATACTGTAGAGAACAGTAAATGAAACATACTGTAGAGAACAGTAAATGAAACATACTGTAGAGAACAGTAAATTAGGAAATGGTTTAGGAGTAAAAGTAGGGCTTTAAGACACTAATTGGTTTTTCTAGTCAACGTTTAAAACACCCTGTGAAAGTAGAGCCAACTTCCAAGGTCTACATAATGAACTACTACATTCTTACTGCTGCTGTTACCACTAACACTAACCAGGTCTTCTGTGTGGTTTCTTTAATCTGACAGTTGGTGATAGTTAAAGTGGGATCTGTTTTATAACAGACCTGCCTCATTATTAGCCATAGAGAACTAACGTTGCCCTCCTGTGACTGTAGTTGATTATGTGGACATTAGCCCTGAAGAGGCCCCGACAGAGACCAGGCGACCAAGGACCTTGGCCTGGGCCTTATTCATTAGTGCATTGAAAGGAAAATGTTTTTAAATGCTTTGCAACAGGAAACAGAAAATAGTATTTCTGACTGGGCAAGTCCATATAGTCCCTCCCTGTTTCAGTCCGTTTTCTGCCGTTTGGTGCCAAATGAATACGACCTCGGCCTGCCCTGGTCTGTATGTCCCACTTCCTTGATCTGGGAAAGGCAGCACAAAGTGTTTTCTGTCCTGTGCCCCTTGCAAACTCTCTCTCTCTCTCACAGACAGGACGGCCAACAGACAACCAACCTGGCTTTTTATGGCCTACAGGAAGCTCACTATTTCTGCTCAAGGACCTGACCCCGCACTTCATAGGACCATAAATAAGATGGGCTTCCACAGAGCTGGCCAGCCTTGCTTCGTCAGCCTATTCTCACCCACTCTCTGGGAGAGCTAGGGGACAGGCCAGGGCAAATGTAAATCTAGTACAAACTAGTACAGAAACATGTAATAGCCTAAATGTTCATATGAAACAAATATGCAGTGTAATTATTTGCTATCATCTGTATTTCTCGGATTGACTTTCTCTTCATATGCAAAATATTTCCACCACAGGCAAATTTCCAGAGTGGTTTTGTTTTGTTTTCTAGGTCTAATAGTTGGTGCTATCATGGAGATGGCTTCTCTCGCTCTCTTTCTGACAGGACTTCAGCCTTTGCCATCTTTCATATACAGTATTACAACTGCCTGGAGTGGCATGGCCCGCAGAACCAACCAGGCCTTAATTTGGCTTCCGTCTTGGGTGAGGCGTTAAATCCTCAGGCCTGCCGTCCTTTTGCCAAGTCCCTGGCAAGCTCAGTGGAATACTAATGTCCAAGCGGTTACCCGCTGCACTCAAAGTTATGGCTTCTTTTTCCCCTGCCTGCCCTGCAACGGGAGGGAAGGACTACCTCACTTGTTTTCTCCAGGGGAGTTGACAGACTGCCTACCCAGGGGCCTCCATTGCAATAAACAAAACTGAAAACAGAACCCTGCTGCCACCTAAAAGCAGACCTCGGCAGTGTGGGGTCTCTGAGGGATAGGAGAGAAGTCATGACGGACTCTGAACCAAAGAGAACGGGGACACAGTGGCTTTTAGAGATACGTTTTAGGGGAATTTAAATACTTACAAAGCAGCTTCAGAAGTAACCTTTCAGTTTCAGCTGAGGTCATTTTTTAATGAGAGGTAAATGGCTAAAATGTGTTATGGGATGAAAAAACCCATAATAATAAATCTTCTTTTTGTAGGAATATATTTAATCATCTTAATGCACGTACATGAATAATATGCATATAATGCATTTAACATTTATATGAGCAATATTTATATGAAAATAAATGAAATAAACCAACTAACTATACAGACTAAATGGAGTAGTGACTGAATAAAGATGAAAAACCCTTTACTCAGAGCCTGCAGCTGCAGGTAGAATGCATTATGATGGCAGTTATAATTCATTGGAAGACTTGTCAAGAGTATGTATGATACCCGTATGTTACCAAACTCTTGGCTATGTGATGGTCTTACCTTGACATGGCCCTCCTTAACCTCCCCGTACTGGACGTGTTTCCTCAGGTGGTTACAGATGGCTCTGAGAGTAGGGTGGACCTCCACACAGAAGTTACACCTGTAGCCGATCGGAGCATTGTCAGCATTGTTCACCAGCTAAAAGAAAGGGAAAACGGGGGGGGGGAACGTGGTCAATCGAAATTGTAAACAAGCTGCCTTTCACAATACTAGTTGCAATGATATTTTCTATAGCTGATGTAATTTCTTAAAATAATACTTAAACATTTAATATTCATTATTCAATACTATGGGTAACATTTTAGCCATTACACTGAAAACAAATCAAAGCAAAACAGGTGTAGACTAACAGTGAAATGCTTACTTACGTCTCCTTTTCCAACAATGCCGAGCTAAGATAAACGCTCCCTATACGCTTGGTTATTATGTCTCATTCTACTCTGGCCACATCTACTATTTTACTGAGATTCTAAAACAATTTGTCTTGAACTCTACAACTCACCTTCTCAGTCTTTGTCTCCGGTGGCTCAGATGCCTTCTGCTTGTTAAGGAGCTGCCTCCTTCTCTCCTGCCTCATCGCCCGCTTTTGGAACTCCTCGTTATGGTTCATCAGATGAGTGCTGAGGAGAGGAAGGCCCAGGAACTTCAGCTCACAGTGGGCACACTGATAGAGCTCTGTCTCCGTCCCATCCTCCGCAATGCTGGGGTGGATGACGAAGTCCCGCTTCAGGTCCTTGCCACTGTGATGGTCGTTGTAGTGCAGGGAGAGCAGATCGACCGTGCTGAAGGATAGCTGGAAGCATTTTAGACACTTGAACGGCAGCCACTCTGCAACCTCCTCTCCCTCTGGCTCGGGCTTTGGTTCAACCACCACTTTGTTCACCTCTTCAACAGGTTCGGGTTCTTTGGCGTAGAGCACAGTGAAGTAGCGTCCGAGCTTGCTGGAGTGTTGCCGTTTGGGGAAGACTCCTGGATGGCGTTTGATGTAGTGGGAGACTATGCTCTTCCTGCTGAAGGCCTGGAACGCGCAGAGCGAACACTTCCTCCTCTCCACGGCCAATCGTAGCTCCTCGCTCAGCTCCGACCCTTCCACCTCCGACGCCACAGGCACCACCACTTTACTGGGCTTCTCCGTCAACGTCTTGGAGGCTGCCAGGCAATGTGTGTAGTAGGCATCGATGTCATGACGCTTCTGGTAGTGCGCCGCCAGGCCTTTGCGAATGGGATTGGTGTATGAACAGAGAGCACACTTGAAGACATTGTTCTTGCCTTCCGGCTGAGCTCTGACGTTGTTGTGCTTGATGCGGTAGTGTCGCGCTATGCCTTTTCTGGTCGAGCAGAAGTACTTGCAGAGCTGACACCTAAACACAGCATGGGCCTCTCCTTTGTTGATGGGGAACTGGGTGAGAGCGAGTTCGAATTCGCTGACCTCTTGTACATCTGACGATAGATTCGTGGCACTGCATTCAGCCACCGGCTCGTCTTTCACGTTGGAATATTGCACATGGGGAGTCTTGAACATATCTGCAGCTGGCTGATTGTGATATTTCTCGTAGTGAATTTTCAGTTTCTCCAATGTCCCATGAGTGTAAGGACACATTTTGCACCTGTACGCACCATAGCCCTGTCTTTGGGTTTTGCACTTGTCATCCACTTCAGTTATATCTTTAACCTGCTCTATATCATCTGAGAAGTCCTCTGCGGTGACCTTCACCAATGGATGCCTCTTCTGGTAATGAGTGAGAACTCCATGGATGCGTGAGTTCACATACGGACAGTGGCGGCACTTGTAAACCGAACTTGGATTGATGTCAGCTTCCTGTGCGAAGTCAGCCGCCTTGACTTTCATGCCTGGGTGTTTCTTGCCATAGTGCGTCAGAAGTCCATGTAGGCTGTTATACTCAGACAGACATACAGTGCACTGGTACGGGCTGTTTGAGATAGAGCTGCTTGTGTGGGAAAGCCTGGGATGGTGTTGGTGATGCTCTTGAGGTGGCGTAGGGATATCCTGTGGGCCTTCATCGTGCGCAGTCGGAAGAAAAGTGAAAGGTGGTCCTTTAGCCATCGACGGGTGGTGTGTCTCTTGGGAACTTTGATCTTTGATGATGTCCAGTAGCACAGACTCATCCCCTTTGACGGCCCAGGGGTGGACAGCTTGGTAGTGGTTGGTGATATCCCAGATGGAACAAGCCTCGAAGGCACAATCTCTGCATTGGTAGTGCTTAGTGTCCCCAGCGTTCCCTCCCGGCTGGGAGGTGGTAGTATCAGGCCCCGCCCACAGCTTGCTGGCCATGTATGTGTAGTCAACGTTGTGCTCTGGGTGGCGTCTTTGGTAATGCAAGAGCAGCCCGTTGGGTTCCGTGTGGGAGTAGATGCACCACTCACAGTGATAACCAGCCTCCAGGATGCCGTCTTGGTACGCCCAGTGTAAAATGGTCATGGCTGTGGCCTTCACAGTAGGATGATCCTTCTTCAGGTGCTTCTTCAAGGCGTACACGTATGGAGATGTATAAGAGCAGTGCCTGCAATTCAATGAGCGAAGGGCTCCAGAGGACGTCTCTATCTCAGCAGGAGCAGCAGGAGCAATGGCAGAGGCTGCAGTGCCTGACTGGCCCATTTGAGCTCGCTCTCGTTGACTGCGGACCACTGCAGTGTGCCGGCGTACAAGGTCAGCATTGGACTTTGCGTCCCTGTGCTTCTTTTGGTAGTGAATCAGCACTCCTTTTACAGTGCGGTTCCCATAGTCACAGTGCTGACAGAAGAAGAGCATCTCTGCTTCTCCTTTCTCTGTGCCAACCCTACCGTGGGAATTGCTGGATCCATCGAATCCGTTGTTGTTGAACTGTTTGAGGAACTGCTTCGGCGGTGCAATCTGTAGCTCATCCATTAGTTTCATCAACCCAGGGGTGGGAGTGGCATGCTTGATGTATTTCGCTGTCACTTTTATTTCTGGATGTCTCTTTTGATAATGGACAAGAACACCCACAACAGACCGGTTGCTGTAAACACAATGTTTACAGTAGTATATCTCCTCATCCGTACCAAATGGCATGGCGGCGCTGGATGACTTCACAGGGGTGGGTATGTTGACGTTGTATGAAGAGTTGCCTGCTGACGGTGGCCTATCGACTGTGATAACCCTCATGGTTTTCTGAATGCGGAAATAAGAGGCTTTCTGCTCTGGGTGCTTCTTCTGATAGTGAACTAGAACAGAGTGCATGTTAGGGCTAGCAAAGGAGCATACTTCACAGTCATACACCACAACATTACCACCCTCTTTCAGGGCCTCCGTCTCTGCAGTTGTATCTTGCGTCTTTGCAACACTTTTGAGGGCAGGACTGGATGAGGACTTGGGCGTGGAAGTGGAGGAGCTACATGTGAAACTCTTGGGACCGGAGTTTAAGATTTCTCTCAGAGTTTGAGATTCTGCACCCTTGTGTTGCTGTTCCACCACATAGCTCGAGAAGATCATAGCGTTGTTTATTTTCACCTCAGGGTGCATTCTTTGGTAATGGGGCATCAAGCTCCTGACGTTTGGACTTGTGTACGAACAGAAGCGGCACATGTACACCAGATCTGGCTGGTTGAAGTTCAGCACGTTGCTGGCTTCTGGGTGGTGATCCATGTAGTGATCGTGAAGATCGTTGAAGTTGGTGTATTCGATGAAGCACTCCAGGCAACGGAAGACGGCGCTCTGATCCTCGGGGTCGAGGATGTATCTAAAGCTAAACTTGATATAAGGGTGCATTCTCTGGTAGTGGGTGCTTACACTGCGGGCTGACTTGTTGTGGTAGTCACAGTGCTTGCAGTAGAAGCGTGCCACCCCAGAGACCTCTGAATAGTCCTGGATTTCATGGAAAGAAGTGTCCCGGCTGTCTTGGCTGCTCTGGTCCTGGAGATCAGCTTTAGGATCAGCAGAGTCGTTGTCCTCATCGTCAGAGTGTGTCAGCGCAATGGGAATGTTTCTTAGCTTTGACGTAGGGGCTCTTTTTCTTTTCCCCACCCGGCCTTCGTAAAGTTTGTTGTAAACGTAGCCGTGATTTTTACTCTCGCTGTCATTCTCCTCGTTGTCTCTGCCCGCATCTTCATCAATGTTGAGCTCTCCTTCCTCTTCATCATCCATTTCTTCCAGATTAATCACCAGATCCTCCTGTTGCTGACTGATCTTGCTCTGAAGGTTGTTGGCGATTTCATCAATCCTAGTTCTCTTCTTGACTGGAGACAGATCCAAAGGTAGGTCGTTGATGGACTTTCTTGCTGTTTTCCCGGTTAAGTGCTTTTTGGATCCAAGTCCAAGAATCGAAGTCTGAGTTTTTTGTACAAAGCTCTGAGAACTGGAGAGCGTTTCTAATTCAGAGTCCTGCTGCTCATTTGCTGAGCCCTCCAGAACAACAGCTTGCATGTCATCACAGTAGGAGTGTTTGTGTTGCTGGTGAACCCTCAGACCTTTCAAGGTGGTGGTCGAGAAGCTACAAAGAGTACAGCGGTGAGGGTTCTGCTGATTTAAGTCCTTCAGCACACTGTTTAGCTTTTTCCCATTGACTTTGGAAGCAGCAACATTTCCTCCGTTCACTGGTTCTGGAGTCTCGTTCTGAGGACCTGGGCTTTCACTGGTCAAGTCCATGGTGTCCCAGTCTGAGGAGTGGCTTTGCTTATGCGTGCCCAACTTGAGAGGGCTGGTGCAGATGAAGGGGCACTCATCACACTTGTACACTGTAGTCTTACCAGACAGGTGTATGTTCTCGATGTGACGGGAGATGCTTCTGCGATGCATGGTGAGGAAAGAGCAGAAGGGACATTGGAACCTGTTCATGTACCTTCTGAACGGTATCCCTTTAGTCTCCAGCATCTTGTTATCCTCCTCAGACAGAAGCTGCTTAGCAGAATCACCGGCTGACAACGGGTCGGTGTAATTGGGGTCATCCTCGTCACCCAGTTCATCGTCGTCTTCTTCAGAGCTGCTCCTGGGATCGTCCAGCATGCCTGAATCCATCTCTATGGCAGAGTTGGAGACATCAGACATCACGAAGGTGGACCTTTCAGACAAAATGGAGGATCCTGTGCTGTTGGGCGCTACCGATTGGATCTGTGAATACTGATAGGGTGATATCCCAGAGGCGGTCTTGCTGAGCTGGAAAACTGACGAGTTGGCTACTGAGGAGCCTTCATTAACACTCTGGTCATTGGAAACCATATTGGAGTTAGGAGGGCTTCTTGGGGAAGAGGGGGAATCAGATTTAGAAGAGACTGCGCTTCCCTCTCCTTCTCCACCTGGGTGGATGGTTGAGATCGTTTTCACCATGTTGCTGTGATTTTTCATCATGTTATCACACCATTCCCCGCGAAGAGCCTGGTTCCCCCTGGACTTCCCCAGAGGTTTAACCATGGACTCCAAGATGCCACGTTCCACACTGGATTCCTCACTGGGTTCCTCGGACGACAATGCCTCAGATTCTTCAACAGCCTCAGACGGAGATTCTGGGGGGTCCAGATTAAGGTTCCCTTTATGATACATCTTTTGGTGTTTCAGGATCCTGGCTTTACGTGGAGACTTGTATGTACAATACTGGCAGGAGAACACTTTCCCAAGACTATCATGGATAAGGATGTTGTAGTTGGACTGTTTGGACGCCTGGGAGGCTGGTGAGCTCCCACCACTTAGTGTGGCTCCATGTACCTTCTTGGTGTGTTCACTCAAGAGAGATTTGGATCTAAAGTAACGGACACAGATCTTGCACTGGAATAACTGGTTGGCGGTTTTGTTGGGCTGGTTTGATGACTTGTTGTATGGCATTTGGTTCGAGCTGGAAAAGTCTGTTTCGAAGCAGTGGCCTGTGGGAAAGAAAGAGGAAAAAAAGAGACCAGTGTAAAACTTGTATCAATCTTTCCTTGAATAATTATATACATCTTGATATAAAATATGTACGTAAAGTATAAGTGTTACCTATACATATTATATCTATATCATTAATAATAATGATGACTAATCAAAACCTTAATCATAATAATTTGTCCATGCACAACACAGTCAATGCAGTGCCCTTACCCGTTTCAGTTTGTGGAGATTCATTCTCCTCCTCCTCTGAGTGGCTGGGGGAGTTCAGAGAGTCTGACCTGGACTGGCAGGGACTCCCGCCCCTCTCTCCGTCTCCGACATCCGTGGGCTGCAGGAAGGCTGTGTGGACATCCTGGATGTGGGCTTTGAGGTCGTCATATGACTCAGCACGGAAGTCACAGCCATCGCACTGTAGCACCTCCATCGCTGAGGACTCCCTGGAAAATCAGGGAAACCTGGCGAGTAAAAACACAAGAGAAGAGAATGGGTGAGTAAAGAAAAAAAGGAAAGAGAAGGGGTGAGGCCTCAGCCTCAGTCACAGCCTCAGACTCACCCTCAGCCACAGCCTCAGCCTCATGCTCAGTCACAGCCTCAGCCACAGACTCACTCTCATTCTCAGCCTCAGTCTTAGACTCAGACTCAATCTCACACAACAACATGTCACATTTAGACCACAGGGGTGGAAACACAAAAGTCTGAGTCTTTAGGCCTAGCACCGGTGTAGGCTAAAACCCTGTGATAGAAATGGGTGTAGGCCAAAACCCTGTGATAGAAATGGGTGTAGGCTAAAACCCTGTGATAGAAATTGCGACATTAGAGACATTTTCGAGAAGGTAAGACAAGAGAATGGGTCAGTTTCTTCCTCTGTCTCACACGTCAACATTAGAGACATCTACAGACAGCTGGATTCTTCAGCTCTGACATCACTGCATACTGCATACTAAGAAGATCTGTTTTTTTGTTGTTGTTGCATGGTTCCAAGAACAATGGCAATCTGAGGAGGGATTACTGAGTTGATTTGTTCCATTTTTATTACCTTGGGATAAACCACAGCTGGAGAGCAGCACCATCAGACTGTGTCCCAAATGGAACCCTATTCCTTATATGGTACCGTAATAGCACCGTAGTCCCTTTTTTAGATCACTATTTTTGACCATCGCCCTTTGGGCCCTGATCAAAAGTAGTGAGCTAAAAAAGGGACTAAGGTGCTATTTGGGACACATAACCGCCAGACTGCATCCCAATATTTACATCACACACACAGACAATTCCCTCAGATTGCATCAAGCTTTCAGTCCCTCCCAAATAAGACTGAATCAATCCACAGAGAGAAAGATAAAGCTTTGTGTCCGCAGTGCTATTCTGTTCCATGATGAAACACACAACTGATATAACTGATAATGGTCAGTGCTATCCGGGATCCTTGGGACATCCCTACCCTAAACCCTAACCCTAACTTTAACCCCTACCCTAACCCTAACATTAACCCTTACCTTAAACATTTTAAATGTAATCTTAAATGGGGTAGAGACCTCCCAAGGATCCCGGATAACATGGACCCACTGATAATAACCTGTCACCTCTGACCTTGACATTCTAACTAACCAATGGCATTGCTTGTTAGTCAAACTGACTTGCTGCACACAAAGACACCGATATGCCATTCATTCACATTTCTCTGTTTCAAATAGATCGTTTTCAATGTAGACCAATGCCACATAAACTGGACAGTTTTATCTCCATCTCTTCATTCAAAGACTCAATCATGGACACTATTACTGACAGTTGTGGCTGCTTCACCTGATGTATTGTTGTCTCTACCTTCTTGCCCGCTGTGCTGTTGTCTGTGCCCAATAATGTTTGTACCATGTCTTGTGCTGTTACCATGTGTTGTGCTGCTACCATGTTGTGTTGCTACCATGTTGTTGTCATGTTGTGTTGCTACCATGCTGTGTTGTCATGTGTTGCTGCCATGCTATGTTGTTGTCTTAGGTCTCTCTTTATGTAGTGTTGTGGTGTCTCGCTTGTTGTGATGTGTGTTTTGTCCTATATTTTTATTTTTAATCCCAGCCCCCGTATCCGCAGGAGGCCTTTTGGTAGGCTGTCATTGTAAGTAAGAATTTGTTCTTAACTGACTTGCCTAGTTAAATAAAGGTAAAAACGAAATCAATAAATAAACAGTGATATGTATTGTTATGATGCAAACGTAAATCCCGAACTTGTGGACAGACTAGTCTCAAGAGGAATAAAGTATTACACAGTGTGGCAACAACACACAATTCCAAATGGTAACCCGCTTCCCATTCTAAAATATGTTTCCAAAACTATGGATGTTAAACAAATACATAGGTAAAATAGCACAGGCCAGTTTTGAGACCATCAAAAAAGACAGTCAATCTTAATTAGCCATCTCAGTGTCAGTTAAAAAGGAAAAAACACATTTCAACGCATTAACAAAACTGACAGAGTGAAAAATACCTGGGGCATAAAATGGCAGTTATGACAGCGTTTTCATCAAATGGGTTTTCGCCTCTTGTCCACACTTCTTTGTGCAGTGACACACAGAGACACAGGGCATTACCTTGAAACGTAACTCATTAGCATTCAAACTGGTTACAGCGTGATGCACTCTCTTTTTTATTATTTCTTATATATTTTATTGGATTTTAACAATTTCTAACTAAAGGCTGAACCAAAACACCAGGCCTAATTCTGCAGAAAGAAGAGCAGGCCAAGGACATGAATATTTGCATGTATTCAAAGAGGACTAATGCTCCACTCTACTAGCACACAGTGAAATATGCATCGTTTTGTATAATCCTTTGGTCTTAGCAGAACAATCACAACATAACATTCTGAGGGTTATTTATTGGTAAGATGTCTATAGAATTTGACCAGCCCTTATGGCAATAGTCTATAAAACCAGCACTAGTTCCTATTCAAATATACACTGTTCAGAAAAGTAGAAGGTAGGAAGTAGAGAGCTAAAAAGCTGTTGCACTTTAGAAACCTTGTGTTATTTGACTCCCTGGCCCTATCTTCCAGAGCCATCCACCAGCATTCCTGTCCTAGGAGGAGGTTTTGCAATACCACCACAAGGCCTAGTATATCCTGTTTATCTGAAGCTCCTTGCACCTGTGGCAAAATGGTGGCCTGTAAATGTCAATTTGAGTTGAACACGTGCTCTTCCTTTACCTGGTCCTGTAAATGTACACCATACAAAAGTACCACTAAATAAAAGGTTGAACAGTGCAACCTGTTTCAGAGCTCAAATAACACACAGGGAGTTCTCCTCACCTATGACTAACTGTGGTAGAAGGGGAAATTATTTTCAGTCATCTGTCGTTTTGTTTTGGTATTGCCCCTATGTAGCTTATTTTTGGCTGCAGGTTCAGTAGACCTCAGGTGTGAAACCATAACAGTTGACGTCCGTCCAGTAACCAGCTGATCTTCACTGGAACAGCTCCTGCTGCCTGCCAGTGTGTACCCGAGAAGAGAGTTCCTGCTCCCCTCGTTGTCCAGGGTCAGGTTGCCGTTCCATGAAAGGCCCCACCCTGATCTGTGGCAGAGCTCTCGTCGGAACTCAGAACATGGACTACGAAACAAAGTTGCATTCTAATGTCAGGTTCCTTGACATGGATATCAAGAAACTTCCTGCTACTGCAACGGCTACTATCTCCCTTGGTGTCAGTTTAGTGACTCCATGCCAGCCACACCAAGTTAATGGACGGTATTTGTAATGCTTTTATCTGCTCTGTCGAGGCTCTGACAGTCAGGGCACTGAGCTGTGCAGCAGATCCTTTGAGCTTCAAGGGCAGCCATTTTAGGAGCCAGCCAGCTATGTGTGCTTAGGTGTTCAGCCAGTGCTCACACTGCACAACATGGCACCACGGATCTGATCCTCCTCACAGAGCCTGCATCCCAAATGGCACCCTATTCCCTTTATAGTGCACTACGTTTGACCAGATCCCTATGGGCCCTGGTCAAAATAGGGCTCTGGTCAAAAGTAGTGGACTATATAGGGAATTGGGTGCCATTTGTGACGGGGCCTGAGACAGCCCAGGCAGTCACTTGAGAGCTGCTGACAGAAATCCATCTGCAAGATGTACTGTGCCCAAGCATGGCCTGCAATGTAGCTCAGCAAAACCACCTCGCACATGCCAGCCTTCCTTACTTAGGCCATTCATTCAATGGGGACAATACATTTATTGGGGACAAAAAGATGACAGTAAAAATAACCAAAAAATCAAAGGGTCAGGCTTTTGGAGTGACACCAAACCAGCTTCTTAAAAAAAAAAATCAGGTAGAGAAAAAATATTTAGGAATTGCCAACTAAGCCCCACAAGGAGGTCTAAACATGCAAAGCATGTCTGAACTTCCTTTTTTCAGAGCTCAGAGAAACATCTGCAGCTTTTGGCTTGAAGAGAAAGGGGGTGGAGAGGAGTGAAGAAAGAGGGGAGGAGAGGAGTGAAGAAAGAGGGGAGGAGAGGAGTGAGGAAAGAGGGGAGGAGAGGAGTGAGGAAAGAGGGGAGGAGAGGAGTGAGAAAGAGGGAGGAGAGGAGTGAGGAAAGAGGGGAGGAGAGGAGTGAGGAAAGAGGGGAGGAGAGAGTGCGACCAGCGGGGGCGCGGGTGATCCGGGGGGGCGGCGTGCGGCCCGCGGGAGAGCGTGGGACCGCGGGGAGGAGAGGCGTGAGGCCTGGGGGAGCGCGGCGTGAGGAAGAGGGGGAGCTGCGGAGGAGGAGGGGCGCGCGGCGTGCGGCCCGGGGGTGGAGGGTAGAGAAAGGGGGTGGCGGCGTGCGGCCGTCGGGGGGGAGTGCGAAAAGAGGGGAAGGGGTGCGGAACGGGGGCGGCGGAGGGGGAAAAGCCCCCAGCATGACCCCCCCCTGCTCTGCTCCCCAGATTCCAAAGTCTACTGACATTTGTTAATCACCAACCAGTCTCTCTGCATCGGCGAGGCTGCCAGCAGTCACACCCTCTACTCAGTCTGGGCCCGGCCCGGCAGCAGCAGCTGCCCTGTCTGAAAGAGGGCCTTTGAATAAGCCAGCATTAAGCTGATTAAGAGTACAGAGGTTTTGTCCTTAACCGTTGGTCGGTCTGGTCGCTCCAGTCCACCATCTCATGCAGTATACAGGCAAGGGAGGCCGCAGATTATATTACGTAGCCACATTTAACTGATAACACACTACAGACACATGTTGTGGATGCTGCTGCTACTCTTGTTTATTATCTATGCATAGTCACTTTAACTCTACCCACATGTACATATTACCTCAATTACCTCGACTAACCGGTGCCCCCGCACATTGACTCTGTACCGGTACCCCCCTGTATATAGCCTCCCTACTGTTAGTTTATTTTACTGCTGCTCTTTAATTATTTGCTATTTTTATTTTCTACTTATCTATTTTTTACTTAAGTAAGCAT